GAGAAGGAATGTAGGCGTACTGCTGTAAGTCCTACAGTTCTTCAAGGCATAATCCACAACATTTGACGTATTGATCGTACATATATTTGTGTTGAGTAATTAAATGGGTTTCCATTCATCTAATTGTTGGTTAATTTTATAGTTATCGCATTTTGTGAATCATCTCGTGATGTTATTGTAAGTACTTCTGAAGTCGTTTCTAGTCTTCTAAACTTGTGAACGAATCGAGTAGTGTTAGAGCCAGTGTATGCGATTGGATACGCCAGGGAGGGGATATGAAGCAACCAGCACCCCATGGACCAGATCAGTGGTGGTAATGTCGATAGAGAGCGAAGGAAATTTCCGATCACTGAGGGAGATCCCTGACGCTGGGAAGGGCGTACAGGTGTGATGTGGTATGCTTAATGCGTGTTGGGTTTTTTGTCTTGCTTTTCCATTTTAGCCTAGTCCTGGTTGGCCCAGGTTTCCGCGTTGGCAGTTTAGTTCAAGGTTATCAGCGCTATGGAAAAAAGGATGGACTTTTTATGCCGGGGAGTGTCAACGAAAAGTGAACATTGAACGTTTGTTCATTGGCCTTGGTCGACATTGGTGGGCAACTTGAAGGTGCGAATGGTTCAATCGTTTACAGGTTCGAAGAAGACGAAAGAATACGAATAAAAGTACAGCATATTTATTGTTAAGCATTCGTTTACAGACTATGTACTAACCTCGATTTTGATTGCCAAATAACACAACTTCCTTCTTACAACCACTGGTGTTTTGGAGTTAAAGTCGAGAATCAGTCGCAGTAGTTATCGGTTCGGAGCGCCTTCGTAACAATAGGAACTTAGGGTTATGTTACTTGGCATGAATTCTGTTTATGCACACTGCGTCAGTGCAAAAATCAGCTGCTGATATATTTTTATTATCATGAAGACTTCCCTCATTACTGATATTACTAATCCCTGCCATTATTAACTCTTATCGTGCTCCTTTCACCAGAATGACTTGTTGACTGTTGCATGTTATGATCATTTACGTGAAATACATTGTTTTTCCTAGATTTCGACACAGGAAGTAACCGGTTGCGCTGGAAACGATGAAGACAACCAAGAAATAATTTGATAACAAAAAGTTCGCCACCCAAACATCTTCATAATTTACAAAACTTTTACGCATTAATATTTCATTCAATGCCGAAAAGCAACTAAAACGCACTAAAACCACGCATGAATGCAATGCATGTAACAATTGCAATGAAATGAATGGATTGGCTAGCTGATCAGTAGATATGGTGGTGGTCACTAAGGTGAATCACCCCATTCTGCAGGAACAGCAATATGCAATTTGACGGCTCGAGATATTTCTGATTTTTATGAGGGCTTAGATCTTTATCTTGAAAAAGATAATAATGAACGCATAGACAGATCATGCTTCTGCCTTTAAATATATACCGTTCGCTCAGCCTGTTGTTGAGATGCGACCACGTGGGATCTGCACAGATCTATGGGGCATCTTATAAATTAACTTGCTATCCATTGTCAGATCTTTAAATACCACTTCACAATGTCTTATCTCATTTATTTTCTAATAACGTCTTTACTTGATCCTCATAATTACATTCCATTAAACCTAACATTTTATAGCTCTTTATGAATTTGATTCGACTTATTCTATTCCGATTCTCTGTAGGGTACGGTTGTGCACCATATGGACAAAAAGGCATGAAATAAAAACAACTGGCTTGAAAATAAGTCTATTAAAGCCAAAAGTGGACATCATGATAGTACGAAGTATATGGGTATTATTATACGTTGCAAATGAACGTTGTCGGCCTAGGGATTAATTACTTCCCCATTCTGTTTCCTATATAAATGTATTTATTAATGATGTATTGCACTTACTTAATTTATTACGCTTTAATGATTCACCTTGGCACTTTAACTTTTCTAAAACAGCTTCCAATCCCTTGTAAACGTTGTACTTACCTCAATATTGGTTGGTTATCGTATGCCTACAACCACGGGATGAAAACGAAACGAAGTCGGTTTTCCTGCGCAACCTGGAGGACAACCGTACAATTCAATAACTATACGGCCTGGTTCGGACAATGAGTGTATTTATATATATCGAATATTTAACTGTTGAAACATTAACTTGTAGACAATCTATGATTTGACATTCTGGATGAAAATAAAAAGGCCCACACACCTCATAAACTCCTTAGAACAGATATATAACTTGTGTATAACAATAATAATGATAATTTATATTTCGCATAAACGGGTGTTTACAATGTATGGATGCATATTTTCTTCACATCCGTGGGTTTATTTTCCGTGAAATGCTTGAATCTCATAGAACAACTGTCTTAACACCAACCGTTGCCTGTAGTCAGCTAAGAGCACGAAAATCGAAGGCCATTCTCAAAAATCACACAATTACGCTCCTAAAACAAATAAAAGTCATTACTATGCATAATTTCTCTTAGTGCATGCCTTTCTTTGATAGTGGAGCCTAAAACTAATCAAATATTTCCCATAATCACAAAAAATAGGCACTTACAGCGCCATCATGAAGGTGAACACCATAGCCCATACTGTGTCCGAAAATACAACGCGTTAGCATTTATAACCACCTGGCGTTCTTAAGCCTTTATTTTCGGATTCACAGCTGTTGGCAAATAAGGCAGGAAAAGTAGTGGAATACAGGAAAATATTCATCATTCGACAGGTGATGGAAGCCTTACAGATAATAAAGAAGATGTAGTTCCTACTTTATTACTCATCCTATCCTTCTGAGTTATTTAATCTCTTGCTACATCTGAGTGGTCGTAGCATACTGTATTGAAGAAGCACATATCAGGCTCCTTTAGAGAAGGCTCGTTAGGAGTGTCAGTTCCATTACACCATCTCCCTGGCTTATTTCTGGGATTTTCTATCCATTGGCTTTATTTTTCACTGGCGAATCTAGACTTCAGCTTAACTATGACATCAGCGAACAAATAGTCACTTTGAATCGCCAGAACACGAGGATGCTAGATACATGCAGCTCATCTAGAAAGAATAGGTTAGCGTCGCTCGCCTAGTGTTCTATCGAGACTCGTCAGGTTAATTTATTGCTAGTCCTTCCTGCTGAAGTTGCTATATCAGACTGTTATCTGTTGCCTCATAGTTTGTTCATTCTTTACCGCTACTCTGCAATCATTGTCTGCAAAATATTTTTCACAGTGGGCGTATTTACCTAAAACTTGTCTTCAGGGATATATTGATCCTATCTCTTCAGCCGAAGCACACAACAATCTGAGACTCTCTTTCTCTAAAGGTCCGTCCAGGTCGCAGTTCGTAAGCGCAGTAGACAGATATGCTCGGGAATTGGTTTAAACTTAGGTGTTGTAGTCGGAATCGGCGCTTTACACCTTAAACGTCCTGATGTAATGCCGATGCTATGTTTTCTCAATTTCTCCTTCTTCATGCTAGTGACGTGGTCATGTTTACCAATACAGGTTCACGAATTGTTTGAGCCGTCCGCGGATTCCATCTAGAATATTGGTGGATGCACTGATGCCGTCTTCGAAGCCTAACTCGCTACATAAAGGAGAGAACTAAGCGAAGACAACGGCAGAAACCTGGTTAAGTTGGGAAGGAAACTATTTAGAGATCTGCTGTCAGTGTGTTACCCAACACATTGTCGGCTATGTGTGATTTCACCTAGCTCTGACCAGTAAACGGGTGTTTTCTTACCTTCTGTGAGCTGCTCTGAAATTTTTTCGGTTTAAAGTATAACCACTAATCAGAGCCCATTCTCCCAGGATTTTTAGGTCTACCTGAAACCTGAGAATTTGAAAGAGAGCTTGTCGCTGTGGGATTCCTTAAGTAATCATGGTAAAGAAGAGCCCGACAGCTCGGACAACAATATAGGAAACTAGGAAGAAATTCAGAAACACTGCGGAGCCGTGTGATAGGGCGTGGGGAAAATTCAGCACTCTAGATAACCGCTCGTTGGCAGGTCTATATATTTTTCAGGTGGCAGCTTGATGCGAATTCAGGCAGAAGTCCCCTCCAATCCCAACATGAGAAGTCAAATCGCCTTCCTTGAAATGAAATGTTACCTGAGGAAGTCGCTGCAAAAGTATACAGCTGAAGAACTTTCCTTTCACAAATTGATTTTTAAACCACACTATAATGTAAGGCTAAGCGACTGTCTCTGACCAAATTAGCTTGCATCCCTCAAATTTAAATTGTTCAGGGGCAATCCCTCCGTCAAATGCATCTTTTAGCCTTCCCAAGATTATACTGTTAAATGTTAGGTTTGGGATACAAAGGAGTATGGCAACACCACTGCCGTAGCATAGACTTCGCTCGCGATTCTTTGGATTGTGAAATCTTAGAAAAGGCTGTTTCACTGGAGTTTCTGCTGATTTGTTTAATATAAATGAGGTTCCGCCAGTCTGCTAATCTACAAGATAATTGTGAAGTCAGCATGTAAAATCTTTCCATAATGATAGACTTTTGAACTTTGGATATCTGAAGACAGTGCAAATGACAGGAAGCACCAAACAAAAATATCCTGTCATTTAAGTATTATGGGCATCATAGCGATGCACAAAGGACAGCTGTGTCCCATTTCTTTCCGTTTTGAGTTCTCCATCCCTGGAATTCTTCACAAGAGGATTTAGCCACTGTACCATGGGTGGAAAGCTCTAGGCGGAGGCTGGACAGTTATACAGTAACGCAAGGACCGAGTCAAAATGATCTAACACCTTAAGACTCACAGACCTTACTATTAGTAGGTATGCATTTAAAATAATCCTTTACCAATACCCCCCTGCCATTCTTCTCACTGCTCTACCTGTTAATTCACTTATTTTGCCGTTAGTTTTTAAAATTATTCTGGGTTATTTATTTTAATTCTCGCACTTAATTGTTTCTTTGTTTGTACACTTTCCTTTTAAAATGTACGTCATCTCCATCAATTATTCCTGTCATTATTATAAATCTTTTCAACGACTCTGGGCGACTCACTTCTCTCCACAGCATGCATCCAAATCCCTAATTAATCCCCTGGAGTCAACCTATGCTACAACAGTCAATTAGAGGGAAAAACTGCGTTGACTCACACTATCTGTAAGAGATGGAATTGAATATTGAATTTGAAATATCCCCAATCGATTGTAGGGGCGTTTCGTTGTTCACGGTACTTTGGGAGTTTTTCGTAATTTGGTAGAGTAATGATGTTCCTCTTCTTGTGTATTATCCAGAGGAGTTTAAATTCCCAGTTCTCTATCGTTTAAAATGATAGAGAAATGGTCTCATAATGAGGAACTTTTGTTTATGATATTACCTTTTGTCAAGTGTTGGTTTTGTAGGGATTTGGTTTGATTGTATGGAGGATTTAATCATGAGCTGACATCAGTCAGCTCATGATTAAATCCTCCATACAATATTACCTTTTGTTGAAAACACTAGTTATGATCGCGTAAATAGTAGTTGTCAATTTGAATGAACACTGATAGTATGAATCTTAGAGGGGTGCATAAAAATCCAGTTTCCTTAGGCAATCTGTGGTTTCGAAAATTGGAACAGAGCATCTGTGTACTGCCACCAGCTCATACACGCCTTCGCCAATCAAAACCTACCATTTAGTCCTCGTTTTGCCCACTTTACCCATGTGCATTTCCCAATTAGGACAACGTGTGTAGACGACAGTCTGTTGGGAAATTTGTTATGAGTGAAGTAGGCTTGCGGCAGAAAAAGATAATACTAAGCCAAAGGACAAAACAGCTTCGGTGAACGTCAGACTGTTGCCCCGTGTCATTCTGGGAGATTTGAACCTTTCTTATGGTTTCATAAAACACATCAGAGGATCCAGAGGTTTGAAATGGTGGTGCTAACCTGCGATACTTCGCTGGATTATCTCTATTTCCTTGGTTTACTTATGTCAGTTTGTTTGTAAGATTTAATAAGTCATTCCACATCAAGATGCATTACTACCATGTTGTCTCTAAGGTTACGTCGGTAATAGTGCTGTCCCACAAGTGATACAATATTAAATGGATTGAATTTCCTATCATTGTGTTCAATTTCAGTGTAAGTAAATTGATGTTTTAAATTCTCGGAAAGTAAAGTAAATTTCTAACTTTCTACACTACTAGTTCCAACTAATGGACACTAACGGAAGTCCACGACTTCACGTGGATAATTCGGAGGTTGTCGTACTCAGTTCAGGAGACGAAGATGAGTTACAAAATTCCCACGAAGAAGACTCGAATGATGTTGCATTTCTTGATGGCGATAATGATGACGTTGATAATGATGAATCCATCGATAGTGATTGTGAAATTATGAGTGTTGAAGATTTACGAGGAGAAGAGAAGTGGCGTGATATCCAAAGTAAGTCTCCATTCATTCTTAGTTTTCAAATTTTGGTTATCAAGACTGTTTTCCGTCTCAGTTTTAAAGTGCCTTGCTAATTAATGTGTAAAACTTGGGCACTGTGGCAATTCTATATCAATTTTTTTCATTAGATACCTCACAGTCAGGGAGACAGTATTATTTACTGGATGACGTTTCAAACAAAATTCATTGTTCATGATCATATCAATTATAATCACACGACTTTGAAACTTGAGTTTTATAGTTTTCTTTATTTTCTCCCATTTGTCGTAGGGGTAGTAGAATTTTCCAGATATCAGGGACAGGTGTTGAGTCATTCCCATCACACGTATATGCAGATGATTCGATAAACAAAGCCTTCGTAACCAGTCTTCCCCACTTGCCACTCTGTGACATAAGATTTTAAAACTGTCATCTTATCCCATCCAGCCTATTGTATGGTTGTGTGTAATTGCATGTAATGCTATGGCTGAACTATCCAGATTTTTATCTTATTTGGGCCAACTAATCTAGGTTTTGCTATGTTGTTATATCCCGTTAGTCTGACTCCCTGTTCTGCTCATTTGACCTGACAATGTAGACAGGGTATTAGATAAACTAAATTGTTTTATTTAATTGGCTCCACAGACAGGATTCTTTCACCGACAGAGCTGGTTTCTAATTGAGTTTATGGCTTTGAACACCACTTTTATTTCTGCATTATTAAGAACTCTCTTTTAGGTTTTACTAATTAACTGTGCTTTTCAAGTGCTTTAGGGTGCACAGTATATTTTATTCATTTAGCGCATAGGTTTGCAGTAGTAAAATTATAAATAGTAGTCAGTATGACCTATCAACTGTGGCGTATATCTCTGTTTTTCTGGGTTGCACATCAGTGGTGCAAGCAGTACTTACACGTAGTTAGTCACCCTCATTTACTGAGGTTAGAAAACCCACTTACTGACACCGACCTTGATCATTAAGTATAGTTCATTTGCTGAGGATGCATCCAGATTTTGAAATGTACATGCATTTTTATAAGATTTCATTTTGTTTTGTAGAAAACTTGATTTGACTTCCGTGAGTAGTAATGGGCATATTAGAGTCTAAAAATTTCGGTGAAGTGAAAGTTTTTAGCGTATATTTAAGAAACAAACGCATTTTGTTTACAAACGATTTAAAGCTATGGCTTTGTTTCAAACTGTCAGTTTCCAACCTCAATGACATTCTGTAATGCGTATCACTGAGAGTTCATATGGTTAAGTAGTTTTTGTTTATTTGGATAGTGATATCTGTCGCTCTTCATGCTTGTTATTGTCTTGAATATCATCAGGGCCTTACGAGAGATTAAACAGTCTCATACAAGCTGGATTCAGCGACCCACGTATGCTGTTGGTTCGGGTATTCGGTATGGATGAAGACTCTCTGCCTTCTGATCCCAATCACTTGTTGAGTTTATTATTAACAATTTTGGCTGAACCTACCCCACGTCATAGACTGCGTCATATAAATAGTTTAGATAACGTTCTCGCACTTCTGGCTACTTCCACATCAATTTTGGTAATCACTGGGGCGGGGATTTCAGTGTCATGTGGCATTCCCGATTTTCGCTCGCGTGATGGTATTTATGCGCGATTGGCTCGTGATTTTCCTGATCTATCAAGTCCACAAGCAATGTTCGACATGGCCTACTTTACAAAGAATCCCGTCCCTTTCTTCAAGTTTGCAAAGGTAAGATCTCTTAAGTTTTCTAACTCTTTATACAAGCTGTAGACTGGAATCTGTAGCACTTCAGTTCTTATCACCATATATACTAGTTTTCTGTGACAAAAGTATCATTCGATTAAATCCTGTTTTATTTTTTGCAACGAAGTGGGACTAAAGTGATGGAATAACATAGGTGCTCTGTCAATGAGGCATACATTGCTTAGTGGTAAATAAACTGTGAAATATCGACCATGTCTAATTTGTGAGACACACATCTACCTCAAGTGAATGATTGAATGAAAGCGTTACATTCAGTATTACTACTTGTTAGGCGTTCTTTCTTACTGAGGAAGAAATGTAGGCGAGGAGAAAAAGCAAACTCTTAGGACCACCTGTTTATTGAAATCGAATATCATGAATTACGAAACGTGCTGTCTATAGATATTATTTTGAATGAGATTTGTATCTATAGGTCGCTTGTGAAAATATGGAAATGTACTAGTTTATTTTGTGAACTAAAAGGATCTGTACTTTCTGATATATTTGGAAAGGTTGTTATTGGATACCCAAGTGGTTTATGGGGAGTTGAAAAAAATACCTTTATCTGAAAGTGCAATACATATTCTGTAGTCAACATTACAGCCATTTCGTCTTGTAAATTCTTAGGGGTTCCCGATATGCTTTATTCGTTTAGTGCATAGGTTTGTAGTAGTGAAATTATAAATAGTAGTTAGTGTGACCTATCAACTGTGGTGTATATTTCCGTTTTTCTGGGTTGCACATCAGTGGTGCAAGCAGTACTTACATGTAGTGAGTCACCCTTATATGCTGAGGTTAGAAAACCTAATTACTGATATCAACTCGAAGGTGTACAAGTAAAAACAAACAAGTTGGCGTTCAAGCAGCGAAGTTGGAACTTCAAGTGAACATAGAGAAGACACATGATGAAAATCGAAAAGAGGTCATATTTTTCACTTAAATAGGTAACATTGTTTCAACTACAGGCGAAATGGATGGGGATGTCAAAGCCAGGATCAAAAAAGCAAAATAGACTTTCATCGCTCTGAAATCTGTGTGAAAATCTGCTCTACTCAACCTCAGGAACACTGATGCCTATGTATGGAATAGAGACTTAACGCATCACCAAAAGCATTTCAGACAGGCTTCAGACGTTTCTGTCTCTGTCTCTGTCTGGATTCAACATAGAACTTGGCACCGAAGTGCCAGACGTTTACTAACCGTTTCCCTCGCCGGCTCGATACGAAAGATCAGATGACCGGCCGTGAATGATAAACAACGGACAACTCTTGCAACGAAACTAGCTTACAGAAGTGAGTGGATATGGATTGAGCATACTCCGAAGAGGCTGTTAAATGACATCATGTGCTAGTCCCTCGAAAAGGAAACGATAACTTGGGCGTCCGAAAGTGACATTGAGAAGATGAAACTTATTGACATTCGTTAAACCATCTAAAAGGACTACAGATGACGGAGTGAAATGATGTACTGCTGAAACAGTATGTTCCGCGCGGAACTCAAGATAGCAGTTGTAATAAGCACAATCATGAACCAGAATGCCACCTTCTCATCTCTTAGTTTTACTAATGACAGATTTGCTTTACGAATTTATTCTTAAGGATAATAACGACATTGGGATATCCTCTGACATCACAGCTTCGTGCACCTCATTTGAACAAAGCTGGCCAAAAAGTCACAACTTCTCAACCGTGATAGATACCTCTCTTAACTTCTGCAGATACAATGTTCACACTGGGTAAAGCTCATAATTTTGCTTTAGAATTTATTATGAATTCAATAGTCAAATATGCGAGCAGATCAAAAGGATATCTATGGGATCACCTGTGTCAGGATTCACTTCTCTAGCTGTTATACAAAGGTGAGGATCTGTAATTTTACCAATAATCGGACCAAAAATTTGCATACATTACATTGGCGACAAATGAGTCATGATTAGACATCTACCTAAGAAGAGGAATCACGCGACGAGATTCCACTTTCCTTTGTCTCGAAGAGGAGAACAAGTATAAGAAGATGGGTAACACAGAAAACCAACCCATAAGGAGCAAATAAAAAAATCAAAGCAATCCAACAACTTACAAAAGAAGCTGTATGAGGACTTAATGCGATACGCCTACCCTAATAAGAGAGTAATCTTCTTACCGTTTTCCGAAAAAGTCAATATCTATCCAACTTTATCAAAGGGTAGCTAGCGTGAAACAACCGCAAAATCATCATTTAAAACCAGAAAGACTATTGTTCTGCAGTATGTGAAAAACATTTCCGAAATGGCTTAAACTATTAAGGCTTTTTAGATTAGTTTTCCTCTGCAAACAAGCGAATTCTCTTCAGTATATACTATGCGGACCAGAAGATGCAACAATAAAAGAAACAAAATGGACAACATCTGTAAGTTAGATTGCATCAACAGTGCAAAACACTATAGTCACCCGAGCGGACATTTGCTTCATCTACGCATTCATAAACAGAAACTAACAGTCAAAAGACGACACGTGTTCATTCGTATTAATTGGCGAGAACAACTATGTATATCAAGTCATCTGGGAAAATGGGGAAATTTTCAACAGAGTTAGCACAAAGATTGTTGAAGAATTCCCAAAAAGCCTGTTGGTCAAATCAATTGTCACTTAGTAAACATGTTGATATAATTCAAATTTATCAATCAGTTAATAATAAACCACATTATCTAAAGACGGGCAAAATTACAAATTAGTAGGACTGTGTACAAGTCTCTTGAGGCAACTAATCATAATCAAGCTTGCCAGGAAAAATGGTTATTTTATTCATGGGAAAGCCCAAAAACACTTCATTGTGCAGTTTTCGTTGAAAATGTCTAGTTGGGGCACTGAACGCTTTGCAATTAAACCACCAAGCTTGCATAACACAACAGTGCTAAAATTGAGGTGTTACACTGACTTCGAAGGAGAGAAGTATAGAAGCAATTAGTGATGAAGTTAAGTAAGTTTCGGTTAAATAAAATGTCTTGTTCTTTGAATTGATTTACTGTCATCCTCCCGATTACAATACAGAAGTTACTATTTAAGTACAGAGATGTTTCGCATAGATTAAATTCTAAGGTAATAAAGGTGTTGTACGTTTTTGGAATTTGTACTCAGATGTTGCACAGGCAAAACCTCATAATATTTTTTTGTGATTTTTGAAAATACGATAAGTTTCCTACCTTGAATTGTTGCGTGACTTCAACTTCAGTCTCTAGGATTATATTTATAGAAAAATGGGTTTATTGTTAATAATCTCTAACCTTAACAATATCAGGAGCTGTTCCCTGGACAGTTTACGCCTTCGATTACTCATCGATTAATTGCTCTATTGGAATCCAAAGGCAAATTACTGCGTAACTATACACAGAACATTGATACTTTGGAGCAAGCAGCTGGGATAACGCGACTTATTCAGTGTCACGGTAAGTTTTTCGAAAATGAGAAATATGTAGACGCCTTTCGTAGATTGCTTGTTTGATTAGAATGTTTCCTCATGTTTGATTCACTAAAGTATGTTTTCATACCGAGTATTGAATACTTGTAGATGACCCATATGACCCCTCATAATTTCATTGCTACTAGCGTCATAAACTTGGTGTTTGAAGGCAAAGTATACACCTAGGTGTTTAATTTCACTGTATTTGTAAGGGAGGTAAAACATAGTCTTACGTATCCATTGAGCAAAAATTCGGGTATATTTGAAAGACTGGTTAGTAAGTGTTATAATGTATTATTTATATTATTCGAGGTTAGTTGGCTGTTGTCAATTTTCTTTAACAATAAGATTTGTGTGTTAGATGAACCATGCGGCAAACCACCCCACTACGATTTATGGTAGTAAATTAATAGTCGAAGTAAATTCATTTACAAGAATATCTATTCCAGAGAAACTATATAATTGTTCCGATTCACAGGTTTGCATAAATTAAAGATTATTGCGACAATGAAAAACTTACGAAAGATGCCTTCCAGCTATCGAAATCGCAACAAAATCATTTGATCTAGAAATATCTATGTTATCAGCCTTCGAAATTACGATTATTCTGAAATATATACCATTTGAATTCCTTCAGTAATCAGTTCATGCGATGATCTTTTGTAATATTAAATTGTGAATTTATGTGTAATAAGAGCATGCTGATTATCAGAATAATCCTTTGGCTTGTGTTTTCAAAGATTCTGACGGTTATATATATATATATATATATATATATATATATATATATATATCCTTTCATTGAAATATTTTTGTATTTTAAACATATTTGTGTAGGTCGGTTTCTGAAATATTCGGATAGCAATTTGGAAGCCATTATTTCGGCCTTTGTTCAGTCACCATCTTATTACGTGAACGTCGATCTAAAAAATTAAGGCTATCTCAACGATGTTTGCGTATTATCGGTATGGAAATAACCCGAAGTCTGTACAAATGTGTACAAAACTTTCATCTAGACAAAATAAATTGACTTCTGAATATTCGGTTATCTTCACTCTTAGGTTGTCTCAAAAAAATAAAATATTTGCCTCGCTAATATATAATTTTTACCTGGATATTTATATGCTTCCTCAACAGTTCTAAGCACACCTCTTATGCCAGAAATTCATTTTTTTTGCATTGACTGTTTTCAACCGATTATCTCCCTGTTATCAGTTGGTATTGTGGATTAGCGTATTAAGTATTCAAATTTGGTCTGTCATTCATGTTTTCAGTATTGAAGTAATAGAGTTTTATTGCCCAAAATGTAGCTATGCATTTATCACTTGTACAGTTGTTTTTACTGTTTAGGTTCATTTGCTACTGCTACATGCACAACATGCAAACTTAAAGTTTCATGTGATTCTATCAAAGATGCTGTATTCGCTCAATCTATACCACGGTGTACAAATTGTTGGCCACCTAAGTCGATTACACCAGAACCATCACATGAAGTTAACGACTCAGAATCCACTACTAATTCGTCAAATCTCTCAGCTGTAGATGAAAATTCCAATTCAAATTATACACCTCATGATGCAGCTTCAAAAGTTAGCTCCGCTAAAGATGAAGAGTCTCGTAGAAAAGCATCTTATGGTGTATTAAAACCAGATATTGTATTTTTTGGTGAAGGTTTATCTAGTGAATTTCATGATTCCCTTGCATATGATGTAAAGGAAACTGATCTCGTTCTGGTTATGGGGTCTTCGTTGAAAGTACGACCTGTTGCTCATATACCAAGTAAGTATTATTATCACATGAAGGAAACGGATTGTAAAAAGCCTGCGGTAAGTTACATGATTTCCGGGAAAAGCAGAATCTTCATAACTGCCCAATAGGGACTACTCGAATGTTAAACACAACATTTTGAGATTTAATTCAACTGGCGTACAACCACATTATATTCTACGTGATGAATGGGCATTGTTCTTCCAGCTATAACTGAGGTTGTAGTAGCTACCTTTGATCTAAGACCTTATAAAATGACTCTGGAGGTGTATATGGAATGTTGGAAATGAGCCGATGTGTCTTCTTTCGATGAAAGCAAAAGTAAGGATGGGTACCTGGAATGTTCGTACAATGTACGAAACTGGAAAGGCTGCCCAGATAGCCGCTGAAATGAGAAGGTACAGAATAGAAGTGTTGGGAATCTGCGAGAGCAGATGGAACGGAACTGGAAGGTGCCAACTACCTACTGGAGAGACAGTAATCTTTTCCGGCCACCCAGAGGACAACCATGAGCACACCGAGGGAGTGGCCATCATGATGTCACCAACAGCAACCAAAGCTCTCATGCAGTGGGAACCAATCTCCTCCAGGATAATGACAGCCAGGTTCAACTCAAAAGGAAGGAAAGTTACAGTCATTCAATGTTGCTATGCGCCTACAAACGTCTCAGAACAAGAGAAGAAGGAGGCGTTCTACAGACAACTACAAGCAATAATGGACAACGTCCCAAATGGCGATATCAAAATCCTGATGGGCGACATGAATGCGAAGCTGGGAAGAGACAACACAGGAAGAGAACTCACCATGGGTCGTGAGGCCCTCGGTGAAATGAACGACAATGGTGAACTCTTCTCAGACTTCTGCGCCTTCAATGATTTGGTGATTGGCGGTAGTGTGTTCAAACACAAGGATATACACAAGACGACATGGATTTCACCAGATGGAAACACCAAGAACCAAATAGACTTCATCTCAATTTCAAGAAAGTGGAGACGGAGCCTACTGGACACAAGGTCAAGGAGAGGAGCAGATGTGGGTTCAGACCACTATCTAGTAGAAGGGACTTTCAAGGTGAAACTAAAAGCCTCGAGGATAGCTGGGGATAGGCCACAATGCAAGTTCAACACTCAATTACTGAAGGACACAACCACAAAAGACACTTTCACTGCAACTGTCAGAGCAAAGCAGGAAACACTACGCGACATCACTGAAGAATCATGCGTGGAAGAACATTGGAAGTCTCTGAAGGCGATTCTCAACGAAACGTGTTCAACGGTTCTAGGAAGAAAGAAGAGACAAGACAAGGAATGGCTCTCAACGGACACTTGGAAATTAATAGAAGAGAGGAGAATGGTGAAAGAGAAAATGATTCAATGCAAGGACGGACAGGAGAAGGAGACGCTGAGCTCAACTTACAAAGCACTGGACAAAGAAGTGAAGAAGAGTGCTAGGAAGGACAAAAGACGATTCTACGACAATCTAGCTACTGAAGCTGAGAAGGCAGCAGGCAAAAGGGACCTGAGGACACTATATCAGATAACCAAATCTCTATCCGGGAAGAGACCAACACAAGCGAAACCTATAAAAGACAGCCAAGGGAACCCATTACCAAGGAAGAAAAACAGATTAAACAATGGGCGGATCACTTCAAAGGACTCTTGAACCGACCATCACCTGCAACCCGTCCAGAAATACCAACAACAGCGCGCACACAACTGCAAGTTGACACCAATCCTCCAACGAGAGCTGAAGTCTTGAACGCAATCAAGCTTCTGAAAGCTGGAAAAGCAGCCGGACCAGATGGAATACCCCCTGAAGCACTGAAAGCGGACCCAGAGACTACAGCAGACATGCTGACTCCATTATTGCAAAAGGTCTGGAAGGAGGGAAAGGTGCCTACTGACTGGAGGAAAGGTTACCTCGTGAAACTACCAAAGAAGGGCGACTTAGGCCACACTCTGCAAGAACTGGCGAGGAATCATGCTCCTATCGACGCCAAGTAAAATCCTGAGTCGCATCATCCTGGAGAGATTAAAGGACGCACTGGAGACAGAACTCCGACCAGAACAAGCTGGATTCAGGAAAGGCAAATCATGTACTGACCAAATTGCAACTCTACGCATCATCATCCCGAACAAAGCATGGAATGGCAATCAAACCTCTACCTCAACTTTATAGACTTTGAGAAGGCCTTCGACAGCGTTGATCGTGAAGTAATTTGGAAATTACTCGAGTACTATGGCGTACCCCAAATATTCATCAACCTTATTCAACAGCTGTACGACAACGGCACATGTCAAGTGATCCACAACGGAAAACTCAGCGAGGCGTTTGGAGTAAACACAGGAGTCAGACAAGGGTGCTTACTATCACCAATGATATTCCTAATTGTGGTGGACTGGATTATGCGTCAGACAGTGGGAAACGAGAAGACAGGAATATCCTGGACCGACGTGAAGAACCTAGAAGACCTGGATTTCGCGCGTGGATGATTTATGTTTGATGTCACACACAATCGAAGACTTACAAGCGAAAACCGACAAACTGGTCGAAGAAGCAGCCGGCGAAGACAGGACTCCAGGTAAACATAGACAAGACGGAGGTTATGAAAATAACCAACCAACAACAGCAACAACATCCAACGTCAATCACCATCAACGGGAGGGATTTGAAAGAGGTTACTTCATTCACTTATCTAGGGAGCATTGTCTCAACTACAGGCAGTCGGAACGGACGAGGATGTCAAATCGAGCGAGAATCGGGAAGGCGAGAAACACATTCATCAACCTGAAATCAATCTGGAAATCTTCGTCACTCAGCCAGCATCAACAACAAAATTCGGATTTTCAATACAAACGTCAAGTCAGTTCTTCTATACGGATCAGAAACTTGGCGGGTCACAAAGAATATTTCCAACAGCTGTTGCAGACCTTTATTAACAACTGTCTTCGCTCTATACTGAAGATCAGATGGCCGGCGGAAAGAATCACCAACAAGGAATTATGGGAACAAACAAAACAAGAACCAATCGCCAACCAACAAATATGCAGGAGAAAGTGGAGATGGATCGGACACTCGCTGAGGAGACCGCTGGGTGACATCGCGCGTCAGCCCCTCGAGTGGAACCCGAAAGGGAAGCGGCGTGTGGGACGTCAGTGCAAGGGTGACATGGAGGAGATCGTGTGAAGAGGAGTTGAAAGAATATGGACTAACATGGATGCAGGCAAAGAGTACAGCAGAAGACAGAAGAAAATGGAGACGTGCAGTTGAAGCCCTATGTTCCACTAGGAACCCAAGGGAGGAATAATAATAATAACAAGATTAGACAGGGTATTAACATTACAGAATTTGGAGGTATTTTCAGTGGACTAGTGTAGGTTGTTGATCATCCTAGTTTATAGGAAGAGAAATCGTTTTGTGATAATCACAGGTGCATCTGCTTGCCTAACGTACTATCTAAGATTAAGGATTCCGTGGTTATAAGAAGACCAATTGGAGCTTTAAAAAAACGAAGGCAAGAAAATTAGGTGAACTTTAGGCTAGGATCAGAGTATATTGGTAGTACTTCACCTGTTGACAGTTTCTGAGACATACATGCTCAAAATGATATCAAGGTTCTCACATAACTTTCAGATTTTGTTTATATAGTTCTCTTTTTATCCCTCAGCTCTATTACCAGTAATATTTTGCATATCTCCGCTATTGATGTTGCATGCATTTGATGCAGATGAACAAAGACCCAGCGATTAATCTCTTCCTCCACCTAACTATATCACCTTTTATAACTGTATATCCATGTATTTGTGTGTGTGTGTGTGTGTGAATGCCTGCACTGTTGTTGTCGAATTTCTCTGTACATCAGTCATTTTCGGGACTCATTTATTCTGCACTTGGCAGAATTACTATGTTTCCATAATCGAACTGGCCTATATAAAATTACCCCCCAGTCATGGTGAAGTATTTTGAAAAATAGATTATCTTGTCTTATCTGGTCAGCAGTGTCCTTTAGCCTGCATGGTTTGTCCATGAGTAAGTTTGTAGGTTTGAGTGTCACCTTAATTTCCACTTTACTGGGAATTTAGTAGACAGAATCAAATTCATATGTGACTTACAAAACAAGCAGAGAGAATCGATTACTTTAGATTGTAAAATAAATGACGTAAGATCGGACAATGTGTCAGACTTCCTCGGGACCATGAATATAACTTTCTCATAAGCAAAAAATGCAGTCTGAGTAAAATTTCCCTGTATTTGATTCCTAGAATCTTAAGCAAACTAAGTAAACGATAGCTCTATTATAATAATAGTTGAAAATCATTTTCCCGGGGACTCGAAATAACTCAGAAAAATATGTAAAAGCAAACTACACGATATCCATTTTTTATGGTTGCTAGTTGTACACAAAAATTGTTCAGCGTAGGCGCCAACAAATACGTCACTCTTATCGTGAAGTTTATGTTATTGCCATGACTTAAACCAAGTCAGACAATCGTCTTATGGCCAGTTTTTAACCCTTTGACCTGAAATGTAATTCGCAAGGTATTGGAACAACTACACGATCAGCATTTCAAAATGAATTCGCATATCATTCGTGCCTTTAAGATACTGGAGCACATGTACAGCGTTTTAAAATAAGGGTCTTGTCATAACTTAGCACATTCATTTTCTCCGTTTCACTTTTATGTGAAAATCCTTTGCTACATGAAGACAGTGAACTGAAACTCAGCTGACACACAGGCGATGAATAACTAGCAGTATGAAGGCAATACGAGGGGAAGACTGGGGTTCAGTTACCTTCACCCATACTAGGTCATTAAAGGGGCGTTTCTCAATGAATCATTAGACAAATTTGCAAAATTACTGATATGTATATTCACCATTTGAAAATTTAAGTCATGTTGGTTAGATGTACAAAAGAATTTTCAGGGATGTGACGAGTCCGCTTTAGCACTTGTTTTTTCTGACAGTTGCTCCTAGGTTCAAATCTACCACCGCCCACTTAGGCCTGGGAAACTTGATAACCCTAACTGTGAGCTGATAGTGGTCGCATTTTCTTTTCTGCAACACGTGTCGGCATTATATATATATATATATATATATATATATATATATATATAGTTTCCCTCAAACTAGATTGCTGTTGTATTTTATTTCCATGTAGACGCTGTTCCCAGCGAAATCCCTCAAATATTGATTAATAGGGAGCCTTTATCAAACCATGATTTCGATGTTGAATTGTTAGGAGATTGTGACGTAATTGTTAGTGAGTTATGCCATCGGCTAGGGTGGGAGATTCCAGGAGTTACAAATTATACACCTCTTGTTGAAGTCCCATTGAATTCCTTAAAGAACCCCAGTGAATTACCAAAGTCCATTCCAAAATCCCCAGATGCATCTCAATCCAATCCTACTACAGGAAGCATAACCCCAACAGAATTCCCAAGTGACGAATCTCATGCAGATAATGAAATACAGTCCACTGAAACAATTGCTGATTCGGATGAAGTTTCTAATGCGGAGAAAAGTTCAGATGTGATTGCCCAAGATTCTTCAGAAGGTCACACTGCGATTGAAGTCAGTGAAAATGAAGACAAAAATTGTGTATGGGAGGTAGCATCACATTTACCCCGTAAGTAGTCTACTGTCTTCCTACAAGTGTATAGGTTATTTCTATTGTAAATTTTGCTACATTCTCATATCACACCTATCATAGTTTGCTGATTTTATAATTTCGTGAACGTATCATGAAAAAAACTCATCTTAACGAATCAGTGGAACCATATTTTAGATTGTTAAGACTACTGTCACAAACAGATTGAACAAAAAGTAACTCATTGATTTAAGCTCTTAAGTTTTAGCTAATGAGTGCTGTGTTTGAATCCCTCTTTAGAATTTTTCATCGTGAACTGTGGATTCTGCGAAACGATCATGCCATGTTAAACATATCCTCTACTAGCCATCTTATTCGTGTTTTAAAGCCTACTTTTATGTTGGTAATATTAAATCCTGTAGACTAATTCAAAATCCAAAGTAGTTCAGTGCAACCTCTTCAGCGATTTCACATCCTTCAGTTGTAAATAAACATTTTCTTCGTAAATGCGTTCGATTTGCTAGTATGTACAATCATTTTTTGTTTAAAAACCATAGGATCGCTATAATTCGATGAAATATCGAAATTGCTAGATTGCCTTCAAAAACATTAAAGCACTTATCAGCTGTTTTGTCTTTACTGGGGACTCGAGCCGCGCTCACTGACAATTGTAGTAGTGCGAAGTTATTAAATGAGTACACTGCCAATTACCTACTGAGTGAGGACAAATCGTTTCATGATTTTTAATTTCTACGACTTTACAATATAGTATTAGTATCATTAATTTTCCTCAAATAGGTATGTAGGCTACAATGAATTGCAGTTTGAAAAATTGACCTTAGTAGTATATGCTGAGATTGGTTATCCTTTTCCATGAATTGTTTACAATAAAATTTATGAGCAGGTTGTTTTCACTGTTTTAAATAAAAAGAATTTTTTTCCAGCGTTTCGAATAGAAGACAGGGCTTCAAATTTTGAACGCTGAAGAATCACTAGTGGGAGTATTTTTTTACTGGATAAAGTTACTAGCCTCACGTCCAATCTTCCCTCTTTCCCAAGTTTACTGCCAACTAGGCACAAGGTTTAGGAGTGCGTCGACCGAAAAGCAAACCTGGACTACATGAGTGGTTGGCAAGCATTCTTCCATTGATTGGCTGACTCTTATCGGCTCTCTGAACTAAAGTCATATGTAACTCTAAGGAATATTTCTTCATAAATTTACTCCATCACTTAACAATCTACGTACAATTTTTATGATAATTATGTTCGTTAAAGTAGTTGAACCAATGCATTTTCACACCTATATGCCATTAGGCTGTGTTGTATTTAATGTCCAAAAGTAAGTTACGTCCATTAAATACTTGTTCACTAACCAGAGGTCGTATCAGAACTGATTTTTTTGAAATTCAGTCATCATCATTTAGATTAATATACCAAGTTAATGTTATTATCTCACATTGTTACGCCGACGAAAAATTCACTACATTTTTATTGCTAATGTTTTGGTGTTTTCTATTCCCTAGCCGGGACATATACCTACATCTGTCCGAATCAGTACGTTTTTCATGGTGCTGAAATATATCTAGAAGGGAAACCAGGTGAAATGATTATATCGTGTAGTTCTTCAGATGTAACTTCATCTCATACATCCCAGTTGTCACCGTGTACATTGTTTTCCGGTCATGAAGAAGAAGAAGAAGTCGATAACGAGGAAGAGGAATGCGCTTCATCGGAGACAACAGATAGTGAGAATTGTAGTATTCAGTCTTCAGAATTTCGAAGATGTTTAAAAAGACAAAATTCTCCTGATCGAGGTCCATCAGCAAAACGACCTCGGTCCCTGTGATTAAATTTAATGAGGACAAATCCACTGAATATATTTGTATATCCTATTTTTATCCGCCTACTCATTGTTATGTAATAAACAAAAAAAAACGAAAAAGCTCCACATTTTTTCACTTTTCTTTTGTACATTTATTCTTAAATTAATTGTTTGTAAGTATACATAGTCCTACCCTGTTTGATTGCCTCTCGTTACATAGGTGTCGCGTTGTTCTGTGTCACACATGTTGCTACTATCTATACACACTTTGACGTACTTGGCATGTTGCTATGGTATTCAATCATGTAAGATTGCATGTGATTATTTTAGCAGCATGTCAGATACCTTCAAGCCTCTTTGTTCACCTACTCAGCCTTATACTGAATTTTAAATCCTGTTTCTTTCCTTGTAAGAAAAATCGCATTTGTGTATAATTTAAAGCACACTTATTGTTATTATTCAACGCTTTCCAGCGTTTATTATTATTAGTCATTATTAAAATTCGCATATTTTGGTCATAGTGTGAGTTATTTGGTTACCTTTTCAATTAAGATTAATTAAGGTATATTACTCATTTTCCTTTTTTTTCTGTTGTAACTCCACCAATATATTTCATCGAGAAAACCGTCGTACGACTATTTGTTTTGCTATACAGTTATATGATTCTGAACTTTATTTTTTCCGTGAACTGCAAGAGTTCGTCGTATTGGTCTGCCCACATGTTGATTCTCCAATTATTTAAACAAGTTACCCAGCAATCTTTTGAGATTAATGTAGTGCACACTATTTTGCCCTGTAAAAATCATTAAAGTTTATGAAATATCTTCAAGTCTTAAGGCGTTGGAAAGAACCATTGGTAAAATGAAAGGAATGTCAATTTGTCTAAGTCTTCTTCTTCCACGAATTTTGATTTGGTTATGTTTGATATCCCGACTGATAGCTCCTCACTTGATGTGGTGGTTGGGCTTGTATATTGTAGCAGTTACTCAGTGAGCTACACTAGCTGGAACTGATGTTCTAACGGGTAGTTTGGAAAGTGGTTGGACTAAAAGTATTTACCATCAGAGTGTAAGCTATTTACATTGTCATACTGGATTTAGTAAAAATGTTTATACGTAGGAATTAGTTGGAAAAAATATGAATTTATCCCTTAGGTAAGCTAGTATGTCAACAGTTCCAAAGAAGCCCCTCTTAATGATTACAACAGTGAAACAATAAGTAACACAGTGCCCAAAGAATGCTGTAGAAAGAGCATTTTCCGCAGCTGAGGTATGCTGTACTCTGATTTGACATTCGATAAATAAAGATAAACTATCCAGTTCCGTCTCTTCTCTATCTATCCATTTACGAATTGGGTATATTCGTCATCGAATATATGAACTTCATCTTGCATGTTTAAGCGATGGACTAAGAAGGTCTATTCGACGCTCTCATTTTAGCCCATCTTGTAGATACTCAAAAAAGTTGTTGTTAACAAGGACTTTTACAGTCACCAGTCATATTCCAACTTATCTTAGCTTTGACTCACGAGTTCGTCTCCTACAGACACCTACCTAAAGAGGCTGAGTGTTCAGAAGAAACTCATAGAGACACCTTGGACATGACTACATGAAGGTAAAAAACTGACACTCTCCCACTTCCCCCCTAAGTCACTGTTTTGTTCACCTTATTACGCTACCCCTTAATTGTTGCATTAATTTTTCTCTTAATTTATTTGATATTCAATTCAGTATTATATCTATGAATATTATCTGATATTTATGTTTTTTTGAACAGTAATCTATTGATGTTAACAACAATATTATTTACAAAACATACACAAGTGATGTCGATAAGAATTATCCTGTAAGTATTATGGACAGACAACTGTAGGACCTGATCAGAAAGTTATCAAGAAGAATATTCTTTGCTCAATCTTCTCATTTATCCAGATAGATATTATCATCATACGATCTGGGATTACTGAATAGTAACTAAAATTGTCAGACATAGCAGACACTTGACAAAAAGAAAGATATAAAATGAAAAGGATTTGAACGAAGATTGCAGTGTTATTTTCCCAACCTAAATCTAATTCCAGTGAGAGATCCAGTTAGTGTATATCAGTATTAGAGTATATTAGTGGAATTAGACCATTGTTGATTGCGATAGTCAGAATAGTGTTTAAGTTATTGGATGCATTACTACAGTACCTTTCATAATGATTATTTATATTTTTCGTTGAATACTTTAACTCCAATCACAGATTCAAAAGTCAAAATTAATTAATTCAGATTACCAGGTAAGTAAAAGTATAAGGGCAATATAAACATAAGGAGCTATACTACTGAATAAATCAAAACACGAACCCACAGCACTCCATATTGTACAAATCAGATGCAATAAATAGTGAATGTTATAGTTTCTCAAAATGGTTGCTCGATAATAAATTGCACGAATTGTATGAACACCGTGATCACGAAACAAATATTGTCTGTCTACCGCCAACGTTATACAATTGTAAGATGATTTTCTCATTACTACTTAATTGAGAACACATACTCATTTGGTAGGAGAACTTATATTCACTCAAATGAGAGGGAAATATATATCCAGAAGAATATGTGGTTGACTGTATAGAAATCTTACTAGGCTAGTAAAATATATTAGAATAAATATGAACAAATTCTAGTTTCTTTAGTGGCTTGCTAACAATATCTTATACCACCAGTCAAATGTACTAATACATAATAATAATAATTTCCGAAGACAGTAGGCGTTAACTTAGAAGACGGAATCAATTGGTTATCTGTCCGTGTAACTATGAGAACCACATCGGACACTAAATCTGAATAGTCTACTTTTTGAGACTAGATATTAATCGCAATGCCTTTTTTAATTGTAATGAGTCATATCGAACAAACATCAAATGAAAAAGAAAAGCCGGATCTCTGCTCACGGTCTGAAACCCTCTGTGCTAAATTATGGTAATCCCTAATCATGTTTAAGCTCTACTAATTTTTTCCTTGTTTATCCAATCTGTATACTCTTTCTTTATTACGTCAATTGTTACTATTACCATTCTCACTTTGAACTGTCCCCGGTATTATTTCACTTGTCACCCTAAATCAATTTAGAATTTAACGTTGCGAATCAATGTTAGCAAATTTCACACAGTGTTGAGTAACGTTTCGACTTGCCTACCAATCTTGTAGTTTCACACTCCTGCCAAGCTCTATATACCCTAGGAATTATTCTACATATGAAAGCGAGAATAGAAAGGGGGACATGAAACGTTCGTAGAATCTATGAGACTGGGAAGGCTGCCCAGGTAGCCAACGAGATGCGAAGATATGGCTTGGAAGTGCAGGGTACCTGCGAGAGCAGATGGAATGAATGCGGATTGTCAAAATTGTCAACTGGAGAGTCAGTAATCTACTCCGGTCTGGTCAACCAGACAACAACCACGGGCACACCGAGGCGGTGAGTGGATGTCATAATGTCACCCTGTGGCAGTCAAAGCCCTAACGCAGTGGGAACCAATCTCCTCCTGCAAGATTCAACTCAAAAGGAAGGAAGGTCACAGTGCTACAAACAACGCGGAACAAGAGAAGAAGGAAGAGTTTTACAGACAACTACAAACAGTAGTGGACAACATCCCAAATGGTGACATCAAAATACAAACTGGGACCTGATACTACAGGAAGAGAACTCATCATGGGTCGAGAGACTCTGGAAAAAATGAGTAAGAACGGAGAACTTTTCACAGACTTTTGTGCTTTCAATGAGTTGATGATCGGAGGCAGTGTGTACAAGCATAAGGACATACATAAGGCAAGGGATATGGATTCCGCCTGACGGACACACTACAAACCAGAAAAACTTCATCTCAATGCTGCTCAAGGAAGTAGAGATGCAGCCTGCTGGACACAAAGTCGAGAAGAGGAGCAGATGTGGACTCAGACCATCATCAAGCTCAAGGAACCTTCAAAGTGAAGCTGAAATCCTTCAGAGCAACTTGAGAGAGACCACTGTAATTCAAGTTCAGTATTCAGACATTGAAAGACGAAACCACGAGGGACACCTTCACTACAGATGTGATCTGAGAAAAATCGGAGACACTACGTGGCATCACTGGAAGAACACAGGAACTCTCTGAAGTTGATGTTCGAGGAAACGTGTACAAATGCTCTAGGGAGAAAGAAGAAACATGACAAAGAATGGCTCTCAACGGATACCTACTTGGAAGCTAATAGAAGAGAGGAGAAGGGTATGGTGAAAAACAAGATGGCCCAATGCAAAGATTGACAACAGGAGAAGGAGAAGCTGAGTTCAATGTACGCTGCACTGAATAAAGAAAGAAGTGAAGAAGAGGCCAGAAAAGACAAAAGACAATTCTAGGACACACTGGTCAGCGATTGAAGCGGAACAGGCTGGCGGCAGTAAAAGAGACCTGAGGACACTATGTCAGATAAACAGGTCTCTATTCGGAAAGAGATCAACCCAGATGACGAAACCAGTAAAAGATGCTCAAGAGAACCTGATCACCAAGGAGGAGAAACAAATAAAATAATGGCCTGATCACTTTAAATGGACTGACTCTTGGATCGACCACCACCTGCAACTCGCCTAGGAATACCACCAACAACACACGGAAATGCCAGTGGACACCACTCCTCCAACGAAAGAAGAAATCCTGAATGCGATCAAGCTACTGAAGGCCAGCCAGGAAGGCAGCAGGACCAGACGCCATTCCTCCCGAAGCACTGAAGACGGCTCCAGAGTTTACGGCAGATGTTCTCACTCAATTACTGCGAAAAGTTTGGAAAGAAGAAAATGTGTCTACTGATTGGAAGAAAGGCTGGCTACCTCGTCAAACTATCACAGAAGGGCGACATAGTTAGGCCTGTGCAAGAACTGGCGTGGAATAATCCTCTTGTCCACGCCGAGTAAAATACTAAGTCGCGTCATCGCGGAGAGAATGAAAGATGCACTGGATGCAGAACTCCGCCAGCCCCACCAGAACAAGCTGGATTCAGGAAAGGCAAATCATCATTTGCTGATCGAATTGTAACTCTACTCATCGTCATCACAGAAAAAGGCATAGAGTGGCGGTCATATCTCTCACTACCTCAACTTCATCAGCTTTGAAAAGGCTTTCGACAGACAGCGTTGACCGAGAAGTAATTTGGAAACTACTTCAACACTACAGCGTGCAGTCCCCAAGTCTTCACCAACCTCACTCAACAACTATAAGACAATGCCACGTGTCAAGTGATCCACAACGGAAAACTCAGCGAGGCGTCCGAAGAGCACACAGGAGAAAGACAAGACTACAAGTTATCACCCACGATGATATCCTTAATTGTGGTGGACTGGATTGGCATCAGACTGTGGGGAGAGAGGAGACAGGAATACGATGGACGACCGATAAAAAGATTCTATAAGATCTGGATTTCGCAGATGATGTCTAATGTCACACAGACTCAACGATTTACTGTCGAAAACCAACAGACTGTCTGAAGAGGCACATAAAACAGGAGTGCAGTTGAACACAGAGAAGGAGGTGATGAAGATAACCAATCAACAGCAACAACAACCAGCACCAATCGCCATCAACAGCAGAGATTTAACATGGGGTTACTTCCTTCTGTCTGTCTGTCTGTTTCAACATAGAACTTTGCACCGATGTGTGACAGTTCGAGTCGCCACACTCCATGTAGCACACAAAGCAAGAGAAGAAAGTAGAAGAAATGCATAATAGAGACAGTAAACAGAGGAGTGAGGCAAAGGAATAGTAATGACGAAGAAGAATATAGTTTCATTGGAAATCATAAGTCACAGGGAGTGAATGCATCTGGGCCTTTGAGAACGATTTTGAGCCATATCACCAATAGTTTCCAACCACTGGTTTTTACCGTCGCAAAGACCCCAACCAGCCAAGAAGTCTATACCTTCCTACGTGGCTTAGACTAACTGTTGTACATTTCATTGACTACTGCCATGTTTTGGTTTGACCACCGCTAGCTCTTTTCCAGCCTGACCAATCCTATGTCAGCTAACATTGCCCGTCGGTCGAGGGAGGCGATGACTAGGCATACGTAACACATGTCCTAACCATCTCAGCCAATGTAGCTTCACAGCCTCGTCGATTAATTTCGCCTCCTTACCTAGCACTCGACCAATGCCTAACCTCAATATTACTCACCTTATTATACCACTTCACACGGGCGATAGAGCGCAGGCACCTATGATCAAAGACAGCTAATCTTTTCATGTCTTCCACTCTCAGTGGCCAGGTCTCACAGCCATAAAGGAGGACGGAGCGGACTGATGAGCAGTACACACGCCCTTTGGTCGATAGCCGGATATCGCGTCTACGCCAGACACGGCGTAAACTGACATATGCGAAACTAGCCCTCCGTATCCGTACTAGCTGAGATTTCGTCAGAGATCAACCCGTTGGCACTGGCTGATGGTACTTCCCAAATAAGTGAAGCGGTCAACGTGCTCTACCACTTCACTTCCTATTTCTAAACTAGGAGTCAGTGTCGCCCAGTCCTGTAACATCATCTTACATTTGGCGGGAGCGAATCGCATTCCAAACATTCGTAGATTGCAGCTCAAGGTGTTTAGAAGACTCTGCATTTTGTCAGCGTCCTCGCCTAGAAGGACTATATCGTCTGCATATTCTAAGTCAACAAGATTATTCCCTGGTAGCAAGTCAATCCATGAGTCTCTGAAGTGAGTTAGGGTTAAGTCCATCAGTACATCTATGACGAAGTTGAATAGGAATGGGGATAATGGGCATCCCTGACGGACACCACTAGTTGTCACCAGTTCAGATGACAACTCGCCGTAAGCCCTCACCTGGCTGCTTGAGTTCGAGTAGATTGCTTTAATCAGTGCAATGTATTTTCTCGGAATTCCCTTTACAGCCAAGCATCGCCAGAGAACCTCTCGGTCGAGAGAATCGAATGACGCCTATAGGTCAAGAAATATAATGATTGTTGGACGCCGGTAGGAATCCCTATGTTCTAGAATCTGTCGGAGGGTGAAGATATGATCAATACACCCTCTTTCTGGTCTAAAGCCTGCCTGGCTCTCTCGTGTTTGTGCCTCCCGAGCACCACTTAGTCTACACAATATTGTTGAGCCTAGGACTTTAGATACAATATTAGTCAAGCTAATCCCTCTGTGATTATCACAGGAAGACTTCTCTCCCTTCTTGTGTATGGGGATAATCAGTGACTCACACCAATCTGACGGGACTTCCTCTGATTCCCAGACGTTGCCTAGTACTTCAGTTAATGCAGACAGTAAACTGTCTCCACCATACTTAAATACCTCTAGAGTCATTCCATCAGGTCCTGTTGCTTTGCCTTGTTTCAGATTGGTGACTGCTTTAGTAACCTCAGTTAAGGAAGAGGTACCTGTGTCTATGTCCCATTCAGGGAGGTGTTGGATGTTCGGCAGGTTGAGCGTGGCTGTAGGCCAATTAAGCTGCTCTTCATAGTGCTCTTTCCAGCGTTCCAGTCGTCTATATTGGGAGCTAATTATGGTGCCATTCTTCTCAGAAATTGTTTCACTTATCATTTGCCTTTTGCCACCTGTTTCCATGATAGGCCTAAATAGTTGTCTGGTGTTGCCAATCGCCGACGCCTTTTCTATCTCTTTCGCTTTTGTCACCCACCAATGTTCACGGACGTTGCGAAGACTTCTTGTTTGTTTTCGTTTGAGTATCTTTCGCTCCTCATCATAATCGGAGCTCGTTGGAATCAGTCTTCTTGCGTCAATAAGTTCGCATGAGGTGGTAGAGATCCAATGGCTCTTACTAACTTTTGGTTTTAGCTTATTAAAAGCTTTTACAGCTTTCTACAGCTAGCTGTATGTTGTGCCAGGCTACCTCAGGGAAGTCCTGCTGTCGACCTCAGACACTCGTTTCGCTATTTCTTCCTTAAACAGGGACTCAGTTTTTTATCTAGTTGGGGGCGTAACTGCTTTGATGCCCACAGTTTTTACGTCCGTTTAGTCGTAAGCATAAACGTGCGGGGACCAGAGCGTGATCGGAGTCTACGCACGTGTTCCGAAAGGAGCAACAGTCTTGTACTGACCCTTGCCAACGATACCCTATCGCTATGTTTTCTGAGTCCAGCGTTGATTTGGTGATGGAGGTCGCCAGGTTACGCAGTGTCTCTCTTTGTGCCTAAAGTTAGTGCTGGCTAGGAACAGACGATTATCTGGGAAAAACTGTAGAAGACGATCACCTTTGTCGGCAGGGAATTCATTACGTACCACCTACATACTTCTCATTCTGGCACAACTTCCCTACTTGGGCACTGAAGTCGCCTGCTAAAACAGCTATATCTGAGCGTTTTACTTTTTGCAGCAAATTAGACAGTTTCAGGTAAAAATCATCCTTTAGTTCATCCGAACTGCAGCTGGTTGGGGCGTAAGCGGAGACTACGAAAAGGCAACGATGGGTAGCGCCGCCTCTCCTTCTTCCAACGGACCCATTCAGATGGACAGCACACGACTATCTACTGGGATCCAGTCAAGAAGTGACTTTTCCGCCCTAACACTGAGTGCTATCCTTACACTTGCGAGTCCTCACGAGCTAGCGGAGGTGTCTCCTGACACCCTTAAAGTGAATTTTGCAGATCCACTTTGTTGACCTGGTGAGGTTAAATCAGTGACCACACTCGGGTCTTGTATGCGTGTCTCCGAAACACAACATGCATCTATGGCTCGAGATGCCCGGGTTCTAGCTAGTGATGCCTGTTGTCTGATTTGGCAGAGGGTCCTGACGTTAAATGCTCCTATATGAAGTTGTCAACGTGACTTTAAGAGGCTGTCGGGGGTGTTTCTATGTCTCTCACCGTTGTTTGTCGTCACAGGTTGAAGTGAAGATGACTCACTAGTCTGAAGAATAGTACTTACGGTAGTAGAGAAGCAAGATGAGGAAGGTGATGTGAGTAAAGGAGAATGGTGCTCAGGAAGGCTTCGTGTGCTTTTGGAAGTGTGTGGGCGGTTGTTACTTCCCGGCTGCTCACACAGTGGAAGTTGATTGATTCTTCAGGTACCTTAAATAGAGAGTGTTACGTGACCGCATAGCCCAGGGGACAATTGCTTACTGCTGGTCAAGTTACACACGACCTGTATGAACTGGTTTCTGGGATCGGTCCCGTATTAGTAAACTTACCGCCGGTTACAGACCACCGTAGGGTAATTAGGGATGTACAATTTTTGGGGTCGACCTTTTCTGACCCGTTCTCTTCGGAGTGGAGAGACAGCATAGCTGGCATGCCGGTCATCTGAGGGAAACACCCCCACTGCTGTTACACCCCTGTTTCCCAGCAGTACGACTTCGCCCTCAGACCCCCAGCATAGTGTAAGGAAGATTCCTACACAATGCCGATAACTGCTTTCAGTTTAACCCCTATCCTAACAACCTTCCTGGCATGGTAGGACCTGCAGGAACATTGGTTCCAGCCAGTGCAGCTTGTTGGGTCATTGCGATGTGCAAGCCCGACCACCACGCCAAGGTAGCAGCTATCGGTCGGGCGTGTGTGTGCCTATATTGGTGTTAATTAGAAGGTGAGAATGTGATAGGTTTCTTCTTCATTTAGAAAATCAAAACAAGTGATTCAGCGAAGAGACTCTTTTCAACGAATTTATCATCAAGCTGTGCAATCACATATGCATGGTTTCTAGGATATTATATCCGGGTGAATACATGAAATAATAATAGTATGAAATGCAATTAAAATGTTTGTGATGATTATCATAGTTAAATGTGAAGTGGCAAAACAATTAATGTTACACATATTATATTATTATTATTCCCTTGAGTTCCGAGTGGAACATAGGGCTTCAACAACACATCTCCACTTCATCCTATCTTTTGCCGTCCTCTTCAGCTTGGACCACGATTGTCCACAACCTCTCAACTCCTCCTCACACGATCTCCATGTAATCCTCGAACCGACGACCCACTCGTCGTTTCCCACTTGGATTCCACTTGAGGGCGTGGCCTAGCGTGCAATGTCATTCGGCGGCCTCCTCAATGCATGCCTGATTCATCTCCACTTTCTCCTGAATATTTGTTGAGCGAACGGCTCTCGCCTGTTGGGTTGTTCTCACCCAGAGTTTCTTGTTACTAATTCTTCCTGGCCAAGTTTCTAACCCATATAAATGACCTTATTTACCCATTTATAGTAAGGTAACAAATTAAATAAAATTGTATTTTGTGAACTTGCAACAAAGAATAACAGTAACAAGAGGATCTTTACAATAGAAAATGAATAGTACAGGAGAGAGTATGTATGCTGAGATCATGTGTATGATAAGCGCATACAGACGAAATGAGCGAACGCACACAGTGATTATGATAAACACATAAATTGATGAATGCGAAAAGGAAGATAAAATAACACTAGCTTTCGAAAGGATGAAAATAGTACTGAAGATAAACAAATAAAGGTTAGTGAATTAATAATAGTAAATGTGATAATTCATATTTACGAAAAGAATAAGTGTGTATTATTAACTAGTTGTCAAAGTATGTTTATTTATTAATTTATTTACTTAATAATAAAGGGTAAACAAAGAGAGAGAGAGGTGGGGGTTGAGAAAACACCACTCCCGTATTTACCCATCCACTTTCAATCCTCTCGTAGAGAAAAAAAACAAATAAAATCTATTGAGGTTACTACTGTCTTCTAGACGTAATAAGTCTCCTTAAGATATGTAAACACCTATATATCCAGTATCACTATTACAGATTGAAAGTTATGTGCATTCAATGTTAACTAGGTCATATCTGTTGAAGAAAAGAAAAAGAAACCATTAACTTTCTTTCACAGTCGTTGGAAGAGGTCAAAAAATATATAGTGTTCTTTTTAAAATATATATATATATATATATATATCAAAATTAAAATAAGAGTGAAAAGAAGAATGAAATAACAACAAAGTGAATTTCAAATTACATTTAACTGAACAAAGAAAGTGAGGAAGGAGTTTTTCACCTAGATTCATCGTCGTCATTATTATTATTATTATTATCACTATTGAAATCCTTTTTCTTATTGTCATTTTCGTCAACATCATTGTTGATAGTGGTATTGACAGTGTTGTTTGACTCATCCATTCGATGATGACTTGAACTATCAGCTAGTGAATTGCGTTGGGGTAAAGGAATTTTAGATTTTGGTGAACTATTCGCACGTGAATCAAGGTGAAGTAAACCGGGACGAGAAGTTACAGTGTTTTCCTTTGTTTTTATATCGATATCACAAGAGTTAGGATCAGCTGTTAGTGTTGGATTCGAATCAGCAGTCAACGGTTCATCACTTTTCGGTGAAGATGTGTCACGTTGAAGCTTTGAAGTGGTCTTACTAATTTGAGGAAGTTGATCAGATTGGATAGCACCTGAAGTAATAGAGATGAATAAACACATTTAATATGCGACTGATGTGACTGAATAAATACCTTATGAATGTAATGGTTGCAGAGGTTGATGTCTTAGTCTATTCTTTCTCACAATAAAAAGGCACAATAGGTAAAAGTAAAAACACTCAGAAAAAATTTGACTAGTTTTATTTCCTGACAAAGGAAGAAGCGTCCTTTCACTCCCAGATTAACATTTGTAGCTTAAATGATACTTAGTTTGTTTCTTGCTAAGCTGCTTTTTTCTTTCTTAGTGAGATTATAATGGTGAGGATTACACTAAGTACGCGAATCAATTTCCACTACTCTTTCAAAATATCACCTATCATTGGAAAAAGTTTTACAAGAAATTCTTTGCTGTCACTCGGCTAGTATCGAGAGTTGTTGGGAATTAGCTATAAAAAAGTTAAGCATAGACTGAAACCACAAAGTAGGTAATAGGTGGTCAACACGCATAACCTCACATACAATCGAACATAGGAAGTCAATATCTTTTCAACGAATTGTATTTATCACTTTGCAAAACCGATGACTGACAACGAGTTATACCTAGTGATTTAAGTTTTAATTTACAGTCACATCCGTTATACACTAAAATCACATTGAAAATCAATCATGCAATATAGCCTCAATTTATCAAGTGCAAGTTCCCATCATTTGTCTAAGATAAATCGGTAAACGCGTACTCGCCTATTAATCAATACAGAAATCCTCTAGAAACCAATTTCAATCCAAGTCTCAGTTATTACAAAATGTGGTGAAGTAAATTATCCACAGTATTATACCCTTTAATAACATATCTGAAACATGATAAACAGATTTCATTTATCGAATAAAACAGTGAACAAATCAGCTAATCGACCAAAAGTTATAAAAGATTACCTGAAAATTTCTCGAAATCAACTAAGAGAAAATGTTGGAATTTTCACAGCATAAAGATGGGATAAGATAAGTTATCTGGTGTTGACTCACAGAACTGCTTACATCTGCTCCTGTTGGCTTCATTGTGTTACATAAACTTCAGCTTTAGCTAGGAGGTCCTAGTTTCTAATCCTAATCTACCAGCTTCAGAGTGAGCGATTCAGTAGTATTGTAACAACAGAAGGTAAGACACGGGAGCCAAATTATCTTTTACATTAATCAAACCGCTGTTTATATACCTACAGTTTATATTCGTTAACTAATCACTGAGTGTGTGGTTTTGGTTTACATTAAACGACATGAAATAGGATGTTCAAATATACATAGTATTCTGTCTCCAACAGAAAGTAGAATGTCCAAAGAAATATATTGTATTCTGTTGTTAATGCAGTATTGCATTGTGGGAATATGTGAACATCATATTCCGTTGGAACACATTGTCTGTATTAAAGCACCACAGTATCATAACAACAAGTGTAGCTAATTGCCTGGTACATGGAAAATCTGTTCCAAATAACTCAGTCTCAACTAACTGAGAAGCTTACGTACCCTTAAATCCTACTCAGTACAGTCTGCTAATCAATGTCAAAAAGCACCAACACCTTAATATGATGGTCAATCTTGCATCTATGACTGACAAGTTGGTTGCTGAATGGAAATGCTCACGCTAACTTAGAAAGCTGAGAAAAATGACTACATCCTACTGAAAAATCTGAAAAAGAACTAAGCATAAGTCCTGAAAATTCACCTAGTTTATCAAATCACTAGCCGATCTTAATCCCGGGAAAAGAGGCGAGCTTGGGGGTGGGGCCAGAAAACCCACTTCTGAAAATCAATCCAATCGCTGCAGAAAATTCAAAGCACAAAAAAATATAAAAAAACAAACTTATTCTCTGTGGAAATCGGAGAGACGAAATTATGCGTGATGGTGAGAGCCTTCGGCAAACCACTCAGCCGACGTCTTTTCTTCCGATGAAAGCGAAAATAACCATTGGGACGTGGAATGCCCAGAGAATGTACGAGGAGGGGAAGACTGCCCATGTTGCCGAAGAAATGAGAAGATACGGCATGGAATTACAACGAATCTGGGAGAGCTGATTCAATGGCAGTGGACTGTCCAAATTGTTAACTGGAATGTCAGTAATCATCTGCGTCAACCCAGGCAACAATCGATGAGCACGCTGAGGAAGTGGCTATCATAATGTCATCAACAGCAGACAAAGATATTATGCAGTTGGGACCAAACTCATCCAGAATAATGACAGCAAGAATCAACCCAAAACGAAGGAAAGCTGTAATTATCCAATGCTACACACAGTACTACAAACAACTCAGAAGAAGGAAGAATTCTATGTACAGCTACAAACGGTAGTGTATACAACATCCCAAAAGGCGACACAAAAATCCTAATGGGAGCTATGAGTGCTAAACTGGGAACGGACAACACAGGAAGAGCATTCATAATGGGTCGAGTGGCTGTAGGCGAAATGAATGAGAAAAGAAAACTCTTTGCAGACTTCTGCGTATTCAATGATTTGGTGATTGGAAGCAAAGTGTACAAGCACAAGGATAGACAAAAGGCGACAGGGGAAACTATTTACCAAGAAGTAGAGACAAAGTAAACAATGATCACTCCAAAAAACTCCTGAATCGACCATCACCTTCAACTCGTTCACAAATACTACCCACAGCACTCACACAACTGCCTGACAGTTGGAACTAATGCTCCAATGAAAGCACGTCTTGAATGCAATAAAGATACTGAAAACCAACCGGGAAGGCAGCAGAACCTGACGGAATTCATCCTGATGCACTGAAAACGGATCTGGAGAGTGCAGTAGATGTGGTCATGCCACTATCGTAAAACTTTTAGCAGGAAGGAAAGGTACTTACTGATCAGAAGAAAGACCACCTTGTCAAACTACCAAAGAAGGGCGACTCACGCCTCAGCAAGAACCGGAATCAAGCACTTGTCCACGCCAACCAAAATATTAATTCGCTTCATCCTGGGGGAACTGAATGATGCTTGTGATTCAGAACTACGACCACAAGAAGCTGAATTTAAAGACAGCAAACCAAGTGAGAATCGAATTGCAACGTTACGCATCACTACTGCACAAAGCGAAGAATGGCAGTCAAATTTTTACCTCAACTCCATGAACTTTAAAAAGGCCTGCGACAGCGTTGATGGTGAAATAATTTTGAAACTGCTTCAACACAGTGGAGTTTTTCAAATTTTCATTAACCTCAATCGACGGCTATGTGACAGAATCACATGTCAAGTGGTCCACAACGGAAAACTCAGGAAAACCTTTGAAGTGAGAACAAGAGTAAGATAAGATTGCCTACTATCACTCATCATATCCCTTATTGTGGTGGACTCGACAATTCAGAAGACTATGAGGAGCGACGAGAAAGGAGTACGTTGGACCACCGACAAGAAGACTCCAGAAGATATGCACTTCGCCGACGATCTATGTCTAATGTCTCACAAACTCGAAGATCTACAGGTGAAAACCAACAACTTGTCAGAAGGGGACAGCAACAAACACAGGACTTCAGGTGAAAACAGAAAACACAAAGGGGATGAAGACACCTAACCAACAACAACATCATCATCATCACCAACTACAACAACGACAAACACCATTCACTCACTATCAAGGAAATAAATTTGAGGGGGGGGGAAGTCACTTCCTCCACTTATTTAGACAACATCATTCCAACTACAGACATGTCGTCTGATGGAGATACGACGCAAGGGAGGATGGTTTCCAAGGCAAGACAGACCTTTGTCAGTCTGAAATCAGTTTGGAAATCTACTGTGACCAGCATACAGAACAAGATTTGGACTTTTAACACTGATGTCAAGTCAGTATTTCTCTCTGTGTATGTGTGTGTATTTGTGTCACGAGTCATCGAAATCGTTTCCAACTGGCCACTGCAGACTTCGATCAATATCTCCCTTCGCTGTCTGCATACTGAAGATCGGACTGATGGCCGGCTGACTGACCGGTCGGAAATGATTAGCAACAATCAACTGTGAGGACAATGAACCAATCAGAACCCATTGTCCAACAAGTACGCCGAGACAAATGGAGATGGATAGGACACACGCAGAGGAGGCCGTCGGTTGACATGACCTGTCAGGCTGTTGTTCGAGTGGAACGTGAATGGGGAACGACGAGTTGGGTGTCTGAGGTAGACATGGAGGAGACTGTGTGAGGATCCGATGAGAGCTTATTGGTGAATGTGTAGACGGCTGGAGAAGACTGCAGAGAACAAGTGGAGATGTAGATGTTCTGTACAAGCTGTATTTTCCACTCAGAAATTAAAAGAATAATAACTAGTCCTGGATTCTTCTTTTGAGAAATGCATTATATAACTAAATGCTTCGTGCTAGTTCCAATGATCATCATTCGTATGATCTCTCGATTCTGATTACGTATTTCTCTACATTTACTTTTTTTTAGAAGATCGTTACATCCAGATTACTTCTATAACGATCTCAATCCCATTCTAGAAGGTTTGTGGTGCGGTGGAAAGGCCTTGCAGTATCTTTATTCATTGATGCTTTACTTAACCTTACAGTTAAAACTTAAAATTTCGACTGGGCAATCAAAAGATGTTAATATCGACGAGTGTAGAACTAGAACAGAATAACTGGCCGGTTCTCACTGAATACTAATATCATTCCATGGTGAATTAGATGTTTGGATGAAGTTTGTGCAGATTATTGACACATTATTTGTTTGATTTCCCCATATTTGTTAAAAATTATCAGGCAGAGAACAAAATTTACAGCTATGAAAAAAGTGTTATGAAATGACAAAATATATTGCCGAAAGAAATCAAATTCATGATCCAGTAAATAATGCTGCCCAACTTTTTGACCTATATGAGTAAACAGAGTAATGTAAAATGACTAGCTTCGTTCGTCAAAATCTAAGTTCATCTGACTTGTACTCAAACGAATTTATCTCACAGTAGCGAAACTTGATCAACCAAATTTAGGTGAAAAAGGCAGTTCAAACAAATTATCTTATCACACTCGAATGACTGAAACTATTCACTTCTTTTAGATGAATTAATTCCCATACACTACTAACCACTTCAATCTAAAAAAGACAACCTTCGTGTGTTTAAATCCAACCAGTAAAATAGGCTATTAATTTGGGTGTATTCTAGCTACTGAGATCTTTTATTTTTGTACTAAAATGTCTATCAGTTTAAACGGTTTATCAATAAATAATTAATATTTATCTTCATTGCATCCTTACCAGTTCTTTTATTGTTGAAATCCTTTAAAAATGTTAATGTCATATTACTAGAAGATGGTGTAGAGAACGCTGATGCACGTCTTCGGTGGAAATTATCGTCTACACTTTTATCACTGACTGTTTCAAAATGTATGCTGTTTCTAGATGATTGTGGAAGTGATGTAGCTGTAGGACGTGTCGGCATTGTTTGTCGGTCAAAACCATGCTTATTATTAGCATTATTGTTACTTTTCGTTTGATTTAAACCATTATTTGATGCAGGCAAGGAGACATATGAACTAGCTGTACTACTGTGTGATAACATTTGAGAAGGTTTATTAATTAGAGACGAAGATTTGCGACGAAATGCTGATATTCCTTGTGTTAACGGTATTACACCATCAGTTGAACTGTTTAAATCTTCGTCTAGATCACAGGTCGATTTCCATTGGGAAGCTACAAACGTTTAATATGAATGTTTGAAAAAAAATTATTATAAAAATAACTTAGCACAGAAATAATCTTACTTTTTAAATTCACTTTGAAATTAAATAACAGTTCATATCACATATATGCATGCAGTTTATAAATAGGAATCTGTCACTATTCACTTTGATAATGACTGATATTTTGTATTTAAACAACAAACTCGTAAAAACAAACCTAATCCTTACAAATCAACTGTTGAAAATTAATCTGATGCACACTAGCGACCTGCTACAGGACGGAGTTTCCTGGAGTTCTAGTGAAAAGTCGTGACCAGTGAGGTCCATCCAGTCAAGTGTGACGATGGGTGTCCCACCGATGACATTGGTTGGTGGTAGCACTAAAAATCACGAATTGGTAGAAGTTAGAATTCACTGGCTCTCCATTTAGTTGGGTCCCAGTAGCAGCTGAATGGTATGCGAGCTTGCCTTGTAACCGGAAGATCTTGGGTTTCAACCCCAGTTGGTACGTGCTGCCGATGATTCCCAAACTGGGATGAAACAGTTCTCCAGTACTCCCTGGTTTTCAATGGTTCTCTAACTGATATCAACCCGTGATCAAACTCGTATAAACAAATCTAATCCTTACAAACCAACTTTAAGAAATATTTAATCTTCTTTGAAATTGGTCATTTCAACGAATATGAATCCTTGTATCAGTTCAGATATTACTGCTGCCTTGTGTCAGCATTAATTTCTCTGATTTTTTAACGGAAGCAACAGTGTTGCGGAGAAGATCTGTAATACTATTCTCATGCTTTTCGCCTTTCATGATCATATCTTTAAGTTATACAATACAGCACAGCAAAATGCTGAGTAGTATATATTCTCTAGAAGTCATTTCGAACTACCACTTGCACTGTAGTTTATATTGAAAGTTACCAAATGCCAGAAGAACAAAACATGTGTCCTGCATTCCGCTGCTAGTCGTCACCAAAATCTCTTTGTATCTGTCTATGTCGAAAATTATTTTATGCATCTTTCGAAATCAATCAAGATGTCAGATTTTATTATAGCACCTCACTTACTATATTATAAATTAAGATTCAGTACAGGCTAGTTCTGAAAATTTTCACCCTACCTTTTGACAAGTGGTCAGGTCATCCAGACACACCATGTATCTCATAGTTATTATCAGAGCATAAATGAAAACAATTAAATGAAATGATTACAAAAACAGCAATCTAACCACACTATGATTATTATCATTACTATCTCTATTAGTTTCATTATTTGTATTATAAACACAACAGACACTATGGTTTGAAGTTAATGTATAACGGAACTAGGGACAATGTTACAAAATAAAGAACGTTTATAAATTCTCTTCCACATCACACATGAAACTTCATTATATGAGACGAAAATAAATAGTAGCAAAAGAAGGTGATTAGACAACAAAAATTAATCAATTTTATGTGTGTTTATCACTTTAATTTTTTTTTTGGCACAAATATGAGAAAAATAAATTAAAAAATCTTCACACGCATACAACTGACGATGTAGATGAATCAAGCAGGCAGGTAGGAAAAAAAGACCAGTCAACTTTGAGGCCGGGGTACACAGAAGTGTATAGACAAAGAAAATGCCTGGAATAATTGAAAATATCTAGTACAGTGCAGTTTGTGTACTGAATGATGGGCCTACAATATCACATAATTCCTCTAAGGTATACGAAGTGACATCTGAAGATGTGAACCAATGGCTGGAATTCAAGTGTAGGAACAAATGTGATAGAACATAAAAAGACAAAATACTTACAGGAAAGTTTGGAAAGAAACAAACATTAACAGAAAAGATGGATGTCATAGATTAAATGTGGCAGGACATCTAATGAGTGACGCAACGGAAAATTATTGACATCCTTCAATGACTAAGGACTCCTGCTAATAGTCAACAACATTTCATTGGAAGGTACTATTAAAGCTGATCCTAACGGAAATACCACTTTATTTTTCATAGACGTGCATCTAGGATAACATCATTATGATCGTTTTTAAATGAATTCAAAAATGTTTACTATCTTAAGAACACTATCTTTAGAAATATTTATTTAACTGACGAGGAAGAAAGAAAGAATCGACTTATGTTTCAGGGCATCCTAATGACGAAATTCAGCAACAGAGATTCAGAAGCTTAAGTCTACAGACAACGAACCCCATATAAACGGGATCTTCAACTGTACTAACAGCTATTTAAATTGCACACATGGAAATCTGTATGAAAACGCTATTCAGGGTAGTAGTATGGTGAGAACTGGCTGCTAGCCAAAAGTGGTAGACAGTAATTAACGTCAATGTTTACGTCCCCAATGTTGGTCGTGAGAAAAATAAGAACAAAGACTGATTCAACAATCAATCACAACAGACTTGGCGTAGGCGGACACAATTTGCAGATAGATAATCTGAACTTCAATAAACACGGCCACAAAGAGTTGAGAGATTAACGTTCAGCGAGAAACCACCAATCAGAAGACTGTGTTTGTTTGCTTGCAATAATCTATAATAATGTACGTGAAAATCTATAAGTATCTGTTGATTTCCTAAAAAAACGATCTATTGCCTGGCCCTTGTCTTCTGTTGTTACAGTAGCAAAACAAATTTAAACACGGTAGAAAGGTGAAACTTATTCAAATGACTCCGAATCAATTTTATGCACTAGAAGACACCAAAAGGTGTTTACTCTCTCACATCATAATTTTCCTAACAACAATTAAGAGACTATTACAACTCTTGGGTATAAACATCGCCTACAAAAACATAAAATCACTACATAACTTGTTAAAGGATTTAAAGGAATCTAATACGCAAAAAAAAAGGTAATATCAGACAGCAAGCAAAAATTAATCGAACAACTAGAAGATCAGACAAGCTACAGTTGTTAAATGAATTCAACAAGACTAATCAATCATAAGAAAAAAAAATCACAGCAATCGATCTTAATAAATACGTTATTATCTAAGAAAAATGGTTAACCAACCCAAACAAAAGTGACATCAAATCAGTAATTCATTACTCGAGGTCGAAGCAGATTGTTCGTTAGGTTTCACTTCGTGCTAAAAATGAAGACTACAGCGTCCTTGTAAGCTCTCCTCAAAGAAACATTTCAATGAAAGTATGAACAATACTTTCAGTGTGTTGATGGGATACATCTTAAGCAACTGTGTTAATTTATACTGCATTTTTGTTTGTGTGAAAATAACCAAAATAAATACTGAACAGTGAATGAAATTTAGTGTATATCTTAAAATTCATTCGTTCTCAAACACTACTGAATGGTGCAGTCTAATATCAGTGTATTCGGTAATAGATCGTTCATTAGATATACCAAATAGTAAAGATAGATTGCTTCATAGTGTGATTTATCTTAAAAGAAAACCAATGATATTGAATTATACACTACTAATTTATAAATGAAACTTAGTTGCTGTGTTTCGGTGTATAATATTATATTAACTGATTCATTGGATATATGTGATACCCTGTAATACTATGTGGTTCGTTTAAAGAAGTTTCGTATACATAAAAAATAAGTAGAAAAAACCTATGGACAAGTGAAATTTACAAATCTTTTCAACAATCAACTTGTCAAATTATATAGTGCTATTTATGTGTAAATATATAATAATTATTCACAGTATTATTATTCTTTTAATTTCTGAGTGGAAAATACAGCTTGTACAGAACATCTACATCTCCACTTGTTCTCTGCAGTCTTCTCCAGCCGCCTACACATTCACCAATAAGCTCTCATCGGTTCCTCACACAGTCTCCTCCATGTCTACCTCAGACACCCAACTCGTCGTTCCCCATTCACGTTCCACTCGAACAACAGCCTGACAGGTCATGTCAACCGACGGCCTCCTCTGCGTGTGTCCTATCCATCTCCATTTGTCTCGGCGTACTTGTTGGACAATGGGTTCTGATTGGTTCATTGTCCTCACAGTTGATTGTTGCTAATCATTTCCGACCGGTCAGTCAGCCGGCCATCAGTCCGATCTTCAGTATGCAGACAGCGAAGGGAGATATTGATCGAAGTCTGCAGTGGCCAGTTGGAAACGATTTCGATGACTCGTGACACAAATACACACACATACACAGAGAGAAATACTGACTTGACATCAGTGTTAAAAGTCCAAATCTTGTTCTGTATGCTGGTCACAGTAGATTTCCAAACTGATTTCAGACTGACAAAGGTCTGTCTTGCCTTGAAAACCATCCTCCCTTGCGTCGTATCTCCATCAGACGACATGTCTGTAGTTGGAATGATTTTGTCTAAATAAGTGGAGGAAGTGACTTCCCCCCCCCCCTCAAATTTATTTCCTTGATAGTGAGTGAATGGTGTTTGTCGTTGTTGTAGTTGGTGATAATGTTGTTGTTGGTTAGGTGTCTTCATCCCCTTTGTGTTTTCAGTTTTCACCTGAAGTCCTGTGTTTGTTGCTGTCCCCTTCTGACAAGTTGTTGGTTTTCACCTGTAGATCTTCGAGTTTGTGAGACATTAGACATAGATCGTCGGCGAAGTGCATATCTTCTGGAGTCTTCTTGTCGGTGGTCCAACGTACTCCTTTCTCGTCGCTCCTCATAGTCTTCTGAATTGTCGAGTCCACCACAATAAGGGATATGATGAGTGACAGTAAGCAATCTTATCTTTATCCTGTCCTCACTTCTAACATATCACTGAGTATTGCTTATATTAGTGGGACTAAATAATTTTTCACTAAATATAAATAGGTATATCATAGCACTTATAAATTTATTCAAACACCTTATGACACGAAAAGTTGGACAATAAATTTAGCAAAATGGAATTCCACGGTACATAAATGAAAGGTTTTAGTCACATAGCGCAGATTTTGGTCGACTGAATGAAATATAACTTCGTTAATCTGACAGAATGTTTGAAAGGAAATATTTACTACGGAGTGCTATTCAATTGCATGGTAAAACAAATACTAGTTTCTGCGACTATTTAATTTTTGTTTTCAACATGTTCACAATTTAATATTTCAGACTGGTTATTTAGGTGCAACTTCAATGAATATCTTTCGAATTTTATTAATTTTTATTTTGAAATAGACAACAATTTGTTGCAGTTCTCATCACTTTGACAATAAATAATAAGACGAGTTTCAATGCTAAGACCACTCACTACTATATCCACTGCAGAATACACAACGTTGTACACATGCATGTAGACAATTAGTCAAATTAGTCACTTCAAATGTACATAAATTAACAAGAATACACACATGTTACACACACACACATGCAGAAAGGGACATGTAAACATACAATAAGGATAATTATAATTCCACGGAAGAAAATGTACCCGACAGATTGATGGATTTCAATGAGCATGTTATTAACACAACAGTCGTTAAACTTGGATACAGCAATCAAAGTAAATAATCATGATGATGGTGGTGATAATGATGTTGGTAATGATGTTTGTTGATGACAAATAATAACAACAATTAACATGGTGACAATCATGCAACGAAGGCAACAACTTCAACAAGGAAATACATAATAAAATACAAGGGGAAAAATAGTATTCATAATATAATACAACATTATGACATGCTTGCTTACTGGAAAAATAAAGACAAGAGGCTTCAGGCGTGTGTAAAAATGGATGGATTGGTGTAATCTCGTCAAAGAAATTAAAATATTGGCGAGTAGAAGTTGAGGAAGATCATTTTTGTAGTGTGTATGAAATGCTAATTGTAAATTTTTTAAGAAAGTGAGTAGACGATTAATTCTGTAGAAAAGGATGAAATTATTTGGTGAATATCACAGAAAGTATGTGCATGGTGTACACATTCAGAAAGATCACATAGGCTGACAAATTATTTCCGCATAGATAATCGCTGTTTGCTTTTAAGCGTATTTGAACTATTACTACAGTTACTATGATTTGTTGGGTTTGGTTTTGTACTTGGCATAACTAAGTAAAATGCATTGTCTTGTCCTGGACCATTCATTGTTAACTGATATAAATTATGCGAATCATAACGTGAACGTTTACTGACAGATTTTGAACGTGAGCTACAATGTGTCCCTTTTAAAGTAGGATTTTTATTTGTAGAACTATTTGTACTAGAATCAATGCCAGCACCACTACCACTACAACTACTATTTGAACTCAATGCAGAATGATTACGTGTATGACGAGAAACATTTAAATCAGAACGACTAGATGGATTCACTACTGCTGTTCGTGTTGCAGAAGAAGAAGAAGCGAAGTGTTGAGGGAAAGGAGGAGGAAGCCAGTAGGAACTTCTACCAACACCAGCTGCTTTAGCCAGATCAGCTATACTAGTCAAGCGTTCACAAGCATCTAAATAATGTTTATATATATTACATGTGCATGCATAGGTAGATAATGTGCATACAGGCATAATCAATACAATTATATGCATACATATACGTTTACACGTAAGAGTATAAAAAGTAGGTTTCGTACGTGTATATGCGTGTGTAATACCATATAAAAAAAGAGCAAAACAAAAACATTCAAATGATAGGGCAAAATCAAAAAATGGAGGAAAATCATAAAAAAAAACAAAAGAAGAAACAAATCATAGAATTAGAATCATAATTAAATATGCAATATTCACAAAGCGACTTAATGAAAAAAGTAAACATGGCAACTACCATATTCTCATTTCAACTTCTCAAATGGACTTAGAAAAAGGGATTCATATACTGTTAGGACCGTCTTCATTAGCTAAGCAGTAGTGTCAGGCACTATGTCCAAAAAGACTATCTGTCAATTTATGAAACAGTAATTCTAAGCAGCTGAGAGATTATGTATATGGTTGCAGTGAATTCTACTCTACTGAATATTGAATAAGTTGATGGAGAAAGTGAAATCACTTCAGCTTTATACAATGTAGATAATTTACAAACAAGACAGCTGCTATTCACAGTGTTACATTTTGTGCGACCATCATCTTGAATTTCAAGTCCATGAAACTTTACATGAAAACAATAAAAAAACAAATCACAGTTCAGATGAGAAGAGTTAATATTGTTACAACTTTGCTCTGACATTTTCCAGTTCTTCCTGAGCATAAACATTGTAATTGAAAAAGGATATTTCTAGGCTTAAAAACTACCAAAACCAACTACATAACAGACATTAACAGATCATATGAATCTTAACTGCAATCAGAAAGACACTTTTGAAAGTGTCAGTAATTGTGTGACGAGCTTTTTAAACACTACCCATATGCTGTTTCCTTCCTCCACTTGAATTTTAATAAACTAAACCTTATAAGTGAAACAATATTTTCTCCTTAGATGTAAGATGAAAGATGACGGAACCGCAGAAATTGCGTACTGTTGAAGAGTCCCAAACTAGGACGAAACTGCCGTTTAGTACACCCAGGTTTTCCAGTGATTCTCTAACTGGTATCAATTCATGATAAAATCCTCCAACCAATTAAACGCAATCCTTACAAAACCAATACTTGACAGTTATATTTGTTGTGCTGATTTAACAGTATAAGGAAGTTCTATTTCATATGAAATAGCTTGGGTTCGAAATAACTGATGACGACTTAATAGCATAGTTTCTCAGATCGTTCAAAGCGCAAATCAACCAAACAATTTTCAGATCACGATTCATACTTCATTAGATCCTGGCGCCCTACTAATTCTGGCTTATTTATTCGATAAATGTGAAGCGTGATAAAAACAAAAAGGACTCAAGGGGAAATGCGAGGTTCTATATATAGAGTATTATAGTTGTCTACACTGATTACCCATTCATTTCAGATGTTTGGCAGTAACAGAAGAAACAAACATATCCAACTCCATATATCATAAACAAGGAGAGATGGTATGTGTACAGGAACATATTCTCCATCTCTGTTGAAGACTGTCACTGACATACCCATTATGTATATCTCTATATTCCTTTGATAACTTAAAAATATTTTCCTGAGCTGACTAACCAGAAGACAGTAGTATGAGGTGAGAAGGTTAACAAAATACAGTTTACTGAGAACTTTGACTGTTATTGACATTTCATTGATTATTAATTAATCATTAATATAGCAAAAATATTCATTCAGATATCTATAAAACACAACATAATCGAGCAAAGAATATTCTTTTCGATAAATTCCTCTTCTGGCTCTACAATTATATACATGTTTATATACACAGAATATTCAAGGTTGGTAGTTAATTACAATATTAGTGTTTTTTAAATAATATCGATTTGTAAAGCAAGATCAATGCAATTACAGTTCACTAAAAATACTTAAATTATAATAGTAATAAAGATATAATAGCGAGTAGGATATCAACTAAAATTAGGAAATTTTCACGAAAATTGAGAATCATTCAAACCTAGATGGCCAAGGTAGGGACAGCGTCTGAACTAACTTCTTTTGGACGCACAAATTAGGCTTTTTAATGTGGATCCCAACAGCCTCAGCAATATTTAGTAATCGAACTCTTAAGGCGAAGTTGAGATTTGTTGGTATCCGATAAATAACTCTGAAAGCTTGGTTAACATCAATCCTATGTTCTGTATCCACCAGATGAGCCAAAATAGCGCTACGGATAGATTTTGTTTGGCCTTTGCTTAACCACGCAGGGTGATGTTCGGAAATTCGACGAGAAACACGCCTAATTGTGCGGCCTATGTAACTGGCTCCACAGGAGCAATTAAATTGGTAGATACACATGGATGAGGCGAAATTAGGCAGTTTGTCTTTTACTCCCGAACGCAGAAGAGAAGTAGTCTTAAAGATACAACGTAATTCAGCAGCAGGGAATGCTCGTTTTACCGCATTTCTAATACGCTGTGTTAGTATCTCGCTAGTGTTGTCCCCAAGGAACTGCATCTGAAAGAATAAGGCCTTTTTTGGAACTGTTGGTAACTTCGGCTGCTTTGGTTTCAAATTCATATTCTTATCAAAAAACTTTTCAGGATAACCATTCTCACTTAGCAACCGTTTAATATTATTCAGTTCTTCATCAAGACATTCGTCCGAGCAAATCGCTCTTGCTCTGTGAACCAGGCACTTTATCAAATTGCGTTTGTATTTCAAGGGCACAAAACTGAGAAAATGTGTGTACTGGCCCGTTGATGTAGGTTTTCTATAAACACTTCTTCTTATTGAGCCATCCTCTTTTCTGGTCATAAAAACGTCTAAAAATGGAATACTAGATTCCTTTTCTGTCTCGATGGTAAAATTTATTGCAGTATGTACCTCGTTAAATTTATCCAGGATGCTCTTTTCTTCCTTCTCGCAATTTGATAAAGTGCCTGGTTCACAGAGCAAGAGCGATTTGCTCGGACGAATGTCTTGATGAAGAAGTGAATAATATTAAACGGTTGCTAAGTGAGAATGGTTATCCTGAAAAGTTTTTTGATAAGAATATGAATTTGAAACCAAAGCAGCCGAAGTTACCAACAGTTCCAAAAAAGGCCTTATTCTTTCAGATGCAGTTCCTTGGGGACAACACTAGCAAGATACTAACACAGCGTATTAGAAATGCGGTAAAACGAGCATTCCCTGCTGCTGAATTACGTTGTATCTTTAAGACTACTTCTCTTCTGCTTTCGGGAGTAAAAGACAAACTGCCTAATTTCGCCTCATCCATGTGTATCTACCAATTTAATTGCTCCTGTGGAGCCAGTTACATAGGTCGCACAATTAGGCGTGTTTCTCGTCGAATTTCCGAACATCACCCTGCGTGGTTAAGCAAAGGCCAAACAAAATCTATCCGTAGCGCTATTTTGGCTCATCTGGTGGATACAGAACATAGGATTGATGTTAACCAAGCTTTCAGAGTTATTTATCGGATACCAACAAATCTCAACTTCGCCTTAAAAGTTCGATTACTAAATATTGCTGAGGCTGTTGGGATCCACATTAAAAAGCCTAATTTGTGCGTCCAAAAGAAGTTAGTTCAGACGCTGTCCCTACCTTGGCCATCTAGGTTTGAATGATTCTCAATTTTCGTGAAAATTTCCTAATTTTAGTTGATATCCTACTCGCTATTATATCTTTATTACTATTATAATTTAAGTATTTTTAGTGAACTGTAATTGCATTGATCTTGCTTTACAAATCGATATTATTTAAAAAACACTAATATTGTAATTAACTACCAACCTTGAATATTCTGTGTATATAAACATGTATATAATTGTAGAGCCAGAAGAGGAATTTATCGAAAAGAATATTCTTTGCTCGATTATGTTGTGTTTTAATCATTAATAATCAATGAAATCTCAATAACGTGAAAATGATCTCAGTTTCATTAAATTATTAAACTCTTAGTACGAGTGATATGACCAGATATTCAATGCAAAGTACCATCTAATCTCATCTCCAGCTCTCTCTCCAAGAGGAAATATTTGCAGATTCACAGCCTAAACAAAATTTATCTATCTTGTTAAAGGTCTTATTAAGGCATTGCACTATGAATAAGATTAGTCGATTTGGCTTGATATCAGTCACAAATGTTTACAATGTTTTTCCAAAGGTCGGTGCATTAAGGATCTATGCTGTCTTGTTTCATGTGATTCATATCTTCATCGTACTTTACCATAATTATCATTACTATTTTTGTGAGAGTAGACATTTCTGTCCATTAATTGTGTTTTGGCGACCAGACAAATTGACATAATCACATCTCCCTATTGAGAACAATTCATGTCTGATATACTTTGAATAGACCTTTATTTCTTGCTTCACATGTTTATCAAATTTTGTTAGTCGGTTTGTGAGTTAAACTGTTCAAAATTCAGTTATTTCCCCTCACCTTATAAATATATATATATATAATTATGTATAGTTCAAGGTTATAAAAGGTGTCAGGTGAGTGGCTAGTACAAAGTGGTCTGTGTTATAAATAGGAGATAATAAGACTGAAATGAGAGGTTCATAATGAGATAACGAATATGTTAAATGAAACAGGTGGAGGCACATATTGAGAAAAGAGATAATATCACTAATAATAAGTCCGGATAGTATAAATGAAAAATTCGATAGTATTGAGGGAATGTTTGCATGAAGGGCATAAATTATGACGAATAATAATAATCCAATATATATAATGATCCAATCCATCTCGACTTTCTCCTGCATATTTGTTGGTTGGCAATTGCTTCTTGTTTTGTTTGTTCTCATAGTCTCTTGTTGGTGATTCTTTCCGACCCGGCCATCTGATCTTCAGTATAGAGCCAGCGAAGACAGTTGTTGATAAAGGTCTGCAACAAGCTGTTGGAAATATTCTTTGTGACCCACCAAGTTTCTGATCCGTATAGAAGAAGTGACTTGAAGTTTGTATTGAAAATCCGACTGAATTTTG